AGGAGGAGGAGGAGTAGGCCCGGCACGAAGTTGCTCTAGAGCAGCAAATGCTCCGACGCCTTGCCCGGGCCGACCGGCACGGCGTACGCGCGCCCATCGGGCCCCGGAGGGGGGGCCCATGCCTTGTGCACGAAGGGCCGCCCCACCATGGACGCCGCTGCGCTGTGGCGAAGCCCTCCCGTCCCTCCGTCCATCGCCCGTCGGGGTTCCCGTTCGGCAGGGGGGGCCCACGCCCCGCCGCTCGCGCAGCGCACACGCACAGCGGTGGCAATGAAGGGCCAACTGTCGGTAACAACGCGACGCACAATACACAAGAACGGGCAACGCTGAAATCGGCACACATTCCCGACTGGGCTCCGTGAGTCGCCACGTAAACTCAAAGATAAGAATAAGGGAAGGACGACAAGGAGGAGGAGAAGGAGGAGGAAGGGAAGGGAAGACGAAGACGGAGATTGGGCTTCTACTTGGCGTGCGAAACGCTGTGAGTCGTAAGCTGATGCGGCAGATTCGGGTTCTGGTGACTTCGGCACCAGTCTCTGACACCGCGCGGACCGTTCAACACTGAACGACCGGCGGCTCTGGGGAAACCAAAAGGTCACGATACCGCTACCCCCCGGACCTCTCCCGGGGTAAGTTCTGACCAGGATTTCGAAACGAATCCAGCGGTGGCGACGACGGAGGCCCAGGAAGCCCAAAAAGGGGAAAACGAGGGGAGGGTAGAGGTATGAGTACCTTTTCCTTCTCTGAGGCTCTTTGATTACCAGATCGTTGTTGTTGTTGTGCTCAGATGTGCCGCAAAGCTGATCCTGAGCACACAAGACCTGACTCACGAGACCAAGATAGCAATCTTACACACTAGACACAAAGCGCCCACTACCGACTACTAGCCCTGACACTTCTCAACATGCATTGAATCCACCCCTCGCGACACCGCTGCCAAGCCGCCCTGTCCTCGGCGATCTCCGTCCACTCCATACCCGACGCCTGAAAAAAAAACCTGTCAAACATAAACTCATGGCACCACGGCGAATAACGACTGATTCTGATGACTGTTTCTGGGCCGCAGGCGGCCCTCAGCCTGGAACGCCCGCGGCAGGGTCGCCGCCGCGCGGACACCACACGAGCCTGCCGTGGCGTGTCGCCCTTTGGAGGGCGCGCAGTGGCGGGGCGTGATACAAAAGCGTGGTAGAAAAAACAAGTGTGATAAAACAACAAGTGTGTTATAAAGGGTGACAAAACAGTTGTTTATCACACTTGTTCGTGATTTATCACACTTGTTTTTTGCATCACACTTGGGTGGGGGGGCAGCGAGGGCTGCCGAAAAGGAGCCCTTCAGGGCCGCCAGGCGGGACCCTCTCGGGCCCAGAAAGGGGCCTTCGGGGCCCGAAAGGGGCACCCTTCTCCCCCCCCCCCCTTGTTTGCCGCCCCCCCCCCCTTGGTTCGCGCCCAGCCCACCAGCGGGACCCACGGCGGACACGGCGACCCGGGCTTTGGACGCTGCTGCCCTGCTCCCGGGCCCTGCGGAGGCCCCCCCGGGCACATCCGGAGGCCTGCGGGGACGCCAGGAGGACCCTATCGGGGAGGGGGGGGGGGGGGAACCCTCCGAGCCCTGCATAGGCGCCCAGCTGCTCGAGCCCCGGGGGGAGCGGGAGGCCAGGACGAGCCCAGAGCGCTGACGTGTCGTGTCCTGGGGGGGTCGCCCGGGGCACGTGCCGCGGCCGAGGCGTGGGAAGGGGGCCCGCCTCCGGCAGCACTGCGACGCGCTGCGCGCAGGACGCTGCCGACGGCACGACGCGCACACGGTGATCCGCAAAAGAAGCACCCCGAACCCTTGTTGGAAGGGACCTGACTTAGGAGGGCCGGGAACATTAGGGGTGCAGTCAACCCGTGTCAGGAGGACGCGCGGCAAGGATGCAGGGGCCTTGGAAGGCCGTTTCGATGCTTTTCGAGCGGGGCGCGGCCAACGAAAGTAGCCAAGGATGGACCGAGGGGGCAAGGATGCAAGGGTACCCTTGAGAAGGTTGCCCATCCCTACTATCCAGGCTGACTGTACAATGCGCAAACGGTGATCAGCAAAAAAAGCACCCCGAACCCTTTTTGGAAGGGACCTAACTTAGGAGGGCCAGGAGCATTAAGAATAGGAGTATTTCCTGTAGACTCATCGAACCAAGCCGCCCAGATCTATCAACCCTAATGCAACGACGGGGACCTTTCACTGCTGCGTTACTCGGTTCAGGGGTTCTCTTATTCTCGATAACGCGGGCCAACGCAATCGCGATATGCATTTGCTCGACCTCTCCGAGAGAACCTCTCCCTGAGGCATGACGAAGTTTGTGTTGTTCCAACCGCACTCAAGGACCACATCCCAAACAGAATTGCGAGCACTCAGAAGGTATCGAAGCAGTGTCTGCCCGACACGCTGGTATAGTGTCGAGCGAATTTCGCCTCCCAGGGCCCGGCACGTGAAAACCCTCCAGTTTCGGTACCTTCTTGGAGCTCGAAATTCTTTCTGGCGCTTAAGGCTTAAGTAGACAAGAACAGAATAAGACCAAGCTGGGATTGGGACACAATCGCACCGGGACGAATCGGGGAGACCCCTGAGATGTAATGATCGGGCGCCGCCGCCGTTCCAGGGTGATCCATTACGCCCCGAAAGCTTCCCTAACCCTGAGATCCGACGTTCCGAAGCATTGGTCGCCTCGCGAAACAATCGCAACTGGAGCCCCAAACCCCGCTTTCCTGCGCCAGTCTTCGAGCCGGATCCATCTGTTGGGGGCCCCGCGACCCAGAAGCGGGCGAAAACGCCCGCGGCCCGAGACAACGGACACGCCAGGAGCTCAAGGGAGAGCGCTCCAGAACGTTCTGGGGGCACCATTATCTGGCCCCTGGCCCCGCTCAGCGTGGGGCCGTCCCAATAGCCTGGGCGGGGATTGGCAGCAGGCTGGGGCAGCCTCCACCCTCCCCAACGCAGATCATTGGATGAAAACTTTTCTCGATCGCGATCGGTGGCGACCGATCGGCACTCCAAATCGGTCGCGACCGTTCCCAAAATCGGTCGCGACCGGTCGCGACCGATCGGCCGCGACCAATTTTGAAGTACATCGGTCGCTGCTGATACCGCGATCTGAAACAATATCGGTAATGACCGAACTCATCGGTCGCGACTGGAAGACTGCAGCATCCAGTGTCGGCAGCGAGCGAGGGGGGGAAGTGAAAAGGAGAAGGCCTTCTCAGAAGGCGGCGGAGCTTCTCAAAAGGCCTCCAGCCTGCTGAAAAATGTTCTGGGTCTTCGGGGTCGGTTCAGAAACCTTCTCAGAAGACCAGGGAACGTGCGAGCCCTCTGGAAAGGCCTGCCCCTCCTCACCTCCCAAGCTCTTGCAAAGAGCGCAAGCCCGCCGTGTCGCCTCCCGCCTCCTACAGAGACTGGACAAGAGAAAAAACAGAGGAAGCCAGCGAGGACGAGGGGAATGGATGAGGAGACATTCGAACTCTTCCGGAAGACGACCCAGGATTACCGAACCGATCCACCCCGGGGCTCGCCGCCGATACTGCCCAGGGATCATCCCCCGCCTTCCGGGGGCAGGGCGCGCAAGGGCGACGCCCGCAGACCGGAGACCCTGGGGACCATGGGGTTCTGCGAACCCGGCGCCTCTGCTGGGCTCATGGGCCCGGGCTTGCGAGCATTATCCTGCAGGATCCTGCAGGACATTTTGCAGGATCCTGCAGAGCCCGACGGACCCGGGTGTGGATTGAGGTTGGCCCGGGTGGGGCTGCGCCTTTTCCCCAGGGACCCTGGCGTTCAGCTGTCGCGAGCCGGGCGCTTTACACCGACGGTGTGAGCGTCGCGTCGAACGACTGCCTGACATAGCCGGATACACCCACATGCGGATGCAATGAGGGCGGTACGTCATGTGATATTTTCCCCTCGGGCTTCCGCAACGCAGTTAGCTCGGGGTTCTGCGCCGACACCGTAGGTGTGGAAGTCGGATAGTTCGCTGACGCTGACGGCGGCATTCACAGGCGACTGCTGCGCCGACGAATGGCCTGCGAGCGTCACTTCTGGAACACAATTCGAAACTGCCCAGGAGAGAAGGCTGGGCGCGGGGCGCGCTGTCGTTCACGTGGGTGTACACTTAGATGTACTTGTGCGTGTGTTGCTCCGCCGGTCCTGGCGGCTGGGCGGGGGGCCACCCCAACGGGCTCTAGAGACGCGTCGCCTGCCGCGGCGAAGTGGAAGCACACCACGAACGTGAAGCGGGCTATAGAAAGGGTCGACGTGGATGTCGATGTAGAGCTAACACCAAGGGCGCGAGGCATCACCGGGCGGGCCACGGCGGCTGTGGTGGTAGAGCGAGGTGCTCCGCTGCAAACTAGAATGTACAGCGATGGGTAGAAAGATGTCGTTTCTATCCCAGCTGGAAGGCGGTGTCTAAGAACGATGTGTGTATTATAGTGGGCGCGGTAGGTGGCCACCTTGAGCCAAATGCCCATGTTGAGTCAACATTGCTACCCTGCGAACGTGCTAAAGGAAGAGGCGACCTACCGTTCGAGTGGGAGAAGTTGAAGGGGGAGCAGCTACACGAGGGCAATGAGCAGGCGAAATAAAGATGGAGGGGGGGACGGGACAGACGAAGAGGCGCGGGCAGGAGAAGGGCAGGATAGGACGGGAGAGGTTACGGAGAGAACGCAGCTCCCGCAAAGAAAGATGTACTGGAAACTGCGATGAGAGTATCCACTCTCGTTGGAGCAGCTTCGACGTCGCTCAACTGCCAAACCATGGAGATGCTTGAACTCGATTCAACCATTATGGCTTGCACGATTCGATGAATACGCTGCGATGTTCACTCGGGCACAACGCAGTGAGCACTGTATTGCACCCTGTGTAGACTCAACCGCAGGCCGCCGCAAGAAGCCGCGCGTGTGAAGATCAACACATGCACGCGCGTGCGTGTTCCGCGTGCGTTTAGACGGGGATGATTGCGCTCTTCCTTTCCTTCAACCTCCCCCGCTCCACATCCTTAAGCTCGCAGAGACACTTGAAACTGCGTGCAAATCTGGTTGAAACAATCCACGACGCCTAGCCGTGGAACCTCCCCACGTCTGGGCCACGGGGGCGTCACGACACCCAGTCATGAGGCCACGAAACCCTCACCTTATTCCGAGGGCAGCCAAACCACAGAGATAGTGAGAGCCCGCCCACTCCCCAAGCGAGAGGGAAGCGGACGACAAACACATGTGAACCAGACCCCTGCAGGCCAGATTTCTGCATCGCTGGCTGGGGGTCAGAATTCGATGAGTGTCCGCAGCCAAGTCAACCCTAGCGGTGGTGTCCGATACCCGATAACCAAGCATCGGTTGGACACGCAGGGGTACGCTTCGCACGCAGGAGAAGGAGGCAGGATATCTCAATGGGAAGCCGAAGCGCACGCGGCCAAATGCACAAGCGACGTGCGGAAGGCATGGGGAAGCAAAAAGACACCGCTACCGCTACTCCACGGACGTCTCCCGGGGCGCGCTCTGACTGGGACTCCGAAGCGAGCACCGCCGGCGCGCACGGCCAAACAGAGCCCGTGCGCCGGAAAGCATGGCGGGGGGGGGCGGGGGGCACCCCGCTCTCGCCCAGGCTGGCCACGTCATGTGGCGGGTTCCAGGAACTCTGACCCCCAAAAAATGCGATGTCCCGTCTGTCGGAAGAAGTCGGTAGAAACACGAAGTAGGAAGGCGTTGGACGTAGATCGGGCTTCCGCCCACCCCCTGAAGAGGAGGGAAGAGGGGAGACCGCTCGACTCTTGAAGCAGGAAGGCGCATAAAGTAGATTAGGAACTGGGCATCCAACAAAAAAAATACTCTTCACGACCAGCGTGCATGTGCTTCGGATACGGACAAGTGGTTCGCCCACGAGCTCCAACGTGGTGGGCGCCTGTTTCGTCAACCTCGAAATTCATGGAGAGCTCCTGGGAGACGACGTCTCGCCGACCCTGAGGCTCGTCGAGGTACGCCGAGAGTTGTCGACGAGACGCCTCGTCAACGTGTGCTTGGCCGCCCGAGCGACACCAACGCTGACTGCGTCCTGCATCCTCAACAGTTTTCGCTCCTCCTCCTCCTCCTCCTCCACCTCCTCCTCCTCCTCCTCCTCCTCCTCCTCCTCCTCCTCGTCCTTCTCCTCCTCCTCCTCCTCCTCCTCCTCCTCCTCCTCCTCCTCCTCCTCCTCCTCCTCCTCCTCCTCCCCCTCCTCCTCCTCCTTCCCCTCCTCCTCCTCCTCCTCCTCCTCCTCCTCCTCCTCCTCCTCCTCCTCCTCCTCCAGGGAGGACCCCCTGCGGTTTGGCTGCCCCCCCACGAGCCGCTCACAGGCAGAGGACGGCGCAGCCCGGGGCTCCGCCCCTGGCCTGGCCGCCTGCCGCGGAGGCGCCCGGCCAGCCCTCCTGCACGCCGGGGCCCAGGTAGGGATCCTCGGCGGGGGGGGGGGGGGGCGAAGCTTCACGGACGGGGGTGTGGCCGTATGCCTCACAGGGTCGCGCCCCCTGCCCTGCCTTGTTTCCGTCCCCCTCTCCTTCCGCTTTCGTCTTCTTCTTCTTATTACTATTATTAGTATTATTCTTCTTCATAGTATTATTATTCGTCTTCTTTTTGTTCTTATTCTATTACTATTACGGTTCGGATTGTTATTATTATTAATAGTATTATTATTATTGTTATCCTCGTCCTCCTCCTCCCCCTCCCTCCCTCCCTCCCTCCCTCCCTCCCTCCCTCGCTCCTCCTCCTCCTCCTCTTCCTCCTCCTCCTCCTCCTTCTCCTCCTCATCCTCTTCCTCATCATCACCATCATCAGCAGCAGCATCATCATCAGCATAATCATCAGCATGATCCTCATCATCATGCTCATCATCATCTTCGTCGTCATCATCAGCATCAACAGATTCATCATCATCATCAGCAGCAACATTGGCATCATCATCATCAGCAGCAGCATCATCATCTCAGCTTCATGCGAGCCAAAGGCTCCGACTATGTGGGTGGGGACGCAGCCTCGGCCGGCACCTGCCACACCTTCAGTGCGGAAGGTGCCGCCGCGCGGACGGCTGCGTGGGGTTTTGCCGAGTCGGCCAGAGAGTTGAGGCCTAACCCCCGAAGATACGAAGGAGGGGGGCGGCGCCCACATCCTCGACAAGAGGTACGTCCGAAGAGCCCCCTGGAGATGTATCCCACCTTTTCTGAGTGGTTTCACTCTTCGCCGGAAGTGAGGGTCAACGATAGGTGGGGACAGGCATTGGTTGCTTGTATGCATGTATGTGTGTATGTGTGTATGTATGTATGTATGTATGTATATGTGTATTTCTATGTGTATGTATGTCTGCATGCATGTGTGTATGTATGTATACATGCATGTACGAATGTATGTATGGATGCATGCATGTATGCATGCATGCATGTATGTATGTGTGTATGTATGTATGTTTGTGTGTATGTGCGAATGTGTGAATGAATGAATGTATGTATGTGAGTATGTCTATGTGTGTATTGTGTGTGCATGCATGGATGTATATATGTATACATGTATGTATGGTGTGTTTGTATGTATGTATGTGTATATGGTTGTATGTATGTGTGTGGGTATGTATGTATGTGTGGGTGTATGTGTGTATGTATGTATGTATGTATGTATGTATGTATGCATGCATGTATGTATGTATGTATGTATGTGTGTGGATGTATGTATGTATGTATGTATGTATGTGTATGTATGTGTATATATGTATGTACGCATGTGTGTGCATGTATGGATGTATGCGTGTATGTAGGTACGTATGTGTGTATGTATGCATGGAGTTAGGCATGTGTGTATGTATGCGTGTATGTATGTATGTATGCATGTATATATGCGTATGTATGTATGTAAATGTGTGTATGTATGCGTGTATGTATGTATGCATGCATGTGTGTGCATGTATGTAGGTATGTGTAGGTATGTATGTGCGTATGTATGCGTATGTATGTGTATGTATGTGTGTATGGATGTGTAAATGTATATGTATGTATGTATGTATGTATGTATGTATGTATGTATGTGTGTACGTATGTAGGTATGTGTGTATGTATGTATGTATGTATGTGTGTATGTATGTGTGTATGTATGTGTGTGTATGTATGTGTATGTGTACGTATGTGTGCATATAAGTATGTAGACATGTAGGTATGTAGGTATGTATGTGTGTATGTATGTATGTATGTATGTATGTATGCATGTATGTATGTATGTATGTATGTATGTATGTGTGTATGTAGGTGTGTACGTATGCATGTGTGTATATGTATGTATGTATGTATGTATGTATGTATGTATGTATGTATGTATGTAAGTTTGTGTGAATGAATGAATGAATGAATGAATGAATGAATGAATGGATGGATGTAGGTAGGTAGGTAGGTAGGTAGGTAGGTAGGTAGGTATGTAAGCATGCATGTATGTTCGGGGGGCTGGGGGCAGAAAAACATCGCCTGCGAAAGCGGAGGGGCACGGCCGTGCTCGCGCACGCGGCAGCGCCACGGCGGGCGGCCCGGCGGCCGTCCTCTCGGCCGCCCTCGGGGGGGGGGCCCTCGCGGGGCCGCGGGGGGCCGTGAGGACGGACCGCTCGGGAGAGAAACAGATCGGGGCATCGCACGCCTGGGGTAGACAAGCGCGTGCCGCCACTCGCGAAGCAACTGCTCGCAAATGGCTCGCGGGACCGCTCGGGAGAGAAACAGATCGGGGCATCGCACGTCCAGGGTAGACAAGCGCGTGCCGCTACTCGCAAAGTAACTGCTCGCAAATGGCTCGCGGGACCGCTCGGGAGAGAAACGAATCGGGGCATCGCACGCCCGGGGTAGACAAGCGCGTGCCGCCACTCGCGAAGGAACTGCTCGCAGATGGCCAGGACTCCCCGCGGGGGGGATCTACGATGAAATGCATCAGAGCGGACATGTGTTTTTGTCGGACGTTTGCGAGTAGGCACTCTCTGGCCATCGCTTGGACGTCCATTCCCTGTGCCATTTTCGGTTTCGTGCGTGGGTTTTTCGCAGGATGATCCAGGATGCTCCTCAATGATCCCCGCCGAGAAAAAGTGCACACGTCCGAGCGATACCAAGCTCTGCGAGTAGGCACTCTGCGAGTAGATCTCCACCCGCCTGTGGCTTGCTGTCCCGGCGTGCGTGCTGCATGCCGGCCAGGGGGGGTCCGGCATCGGGCCACGGGGCCAGCAGGCACGTCCAGGACGACGGCCTACAGCCGGCCCGCATCCGCAGGATGCGCGATGAGGATGCAGGCCCAGACGGGACCGCGTCGTGAAAGATTCAGGACGGAGGTTTTTCGCCGTTTTCGGCCTCTAGAGGCCCTCGCCGGGCCCCGGGGCCGTCAAGAAACGACTCAGGATGAAAGACCGGCCCCGGGGAAAGGGTCTCTGGACTCCTGGGGACGCCGTCCAGGGAAAATCCGGACATCGCATGTCTGGGGTGGTGCCTCGGACGCCCATCTCGAAGCTTCCCGAGTGCGGCGCGGCGAGCGAGGCTGGCCAAGGATAGACCGAGGGGGCCAGGGTGCGAGGGGTAGCCTTGGGAATGTTGCCCAGCCTTCTTCTGCGGGCTGGCTGTTCCGCTGGTGGGGAGGTCGGGTCCTCTGGGGCCGCGCACATCGCATGGTCGGATGTCTGGGCCTCGTCCTAGCAGCAGTGCCTCGGCGGCGAGAAAGGGGGGGTAGGGCATCGGCACAAGTGTCGGAATCAGTGTCCATCGTGCTTTTGCTCGAGCCCACTGAGCAAGCAATGACACAGCCGAAGCCGCAAAGCCTCGGACAAACAGAACAACATCGTCGCCAGCACGTGAGTGACTCCGAGGGCCCTTGAGACCTGAGACCCGGGCGCCACATTTTTTTCCGAACAGGCGTTGTCCCTTGGTCTCGGGACCCAGGGCCCTCGCGGATCGATCCGGCTCGAGGAACGCTTCAGAAAGGTGTGGTCTGGGGGTCTCGTCGCGATTGGGCACGATGCTGCATTTGTTTCGCGACGTTGGAGGCGCAGCAGACGTTGCTCAATCATTTCTACAAGTTCTCACGGAAACACGAAGGCCAGGACTGCGTTGCTTACCCTTGTGAGCCTGCGAGGCTACGCCCTGGGCTCGAGGCTGCGAACCTGAAGCGGAGTGTCTCCTTGCAGTAGGTTGATTGGGGCTCGTTGCGCAGATCCGTCCGACGAGATTCGCCACCATGCCTTCAACACGAAGTGGAGCACCCCAAGGCTCGGGCAGCTCTGAGGGGTGAAGGCTTTCTAGAATTCGTAAGGACCCGGACCCCGACGGCCAACAGTGTTTGAAAGATGCTAGCATTCGCCTTCTTCAGCTTCAAGCAAGGTGACGGCTGTCATCTTGCAAGATGAAGGGCTGTCACCAGCAAGATGAAGGGTACAGAGATGAACTACAAGGGCACCAAGATTTTCGCAAAGCTTAACCTGCCTTTCTAGACAAGGGTGTTGAGATCGTTCCTGCACAGTGGTAAGCAATCGCTAACACACGCAGGGTTTGATCGGAGAGGTCTTTGGGTTGATATTGATTACAATGCTCTCCTTTGCAGCGCCGAGGTCGTATTCACAGCGAGCGTCGTTTCGTCGAAACTGGACGCAAAGCTCACTGATGGATGGTCCGAATACTTGGGGAACAACGACGATTTCAAGAAAGACCGCAGAGACCTTGAGGAGAAGTTGAAGTCGCGTAAGGCACCAACGAAGGGATTGGGTAAGGGTAAGGGCCAACGCCCACAGTAGGAAACACCCCCGTCGAGCACTATGTTTCACCCGCCGCTGGAGGTAAGGACCTTCTGCAAGAATGCACGCATCCACACCGGCGCAAGACTGGTCGACATGTTGACCGAGTTGAGCGGCTTGTCTTGGGATTCTCTGCTTTTGGTGAGACGAGGGCCACGTCTGCAGGTAGTGTTCGCCATGGCGGACATCGATGATTCACATGGTGGAGTTGGTATTCTAATTCATGAGCGCTGGGTAGGCGCAGTCACTCCACAACGAAACTTCGGAGACATAATTGTCGGGTTCGCCTCGCCATCGAAGGAGTCAAAACTATTGTGATTTCCGCATATCTGCCACATGCTGGGCACAATGCAGCAGCACTTGACGAAGCATACCGCCATCTTGGTGAGGCAACGCGATGGGCATCGATCTTCAGTGCATGTTTTATCTTCGACGGGGACTGCAACACGCAACTGAATCGAGGGGCGCGCTTTGACAAACTACTACATGTTGCGGGCCAGTTCAATTTGAACATTGCCAACGAAGTAGAGGAAGGCAGCGAGGGCGACGCATACACATTCAAGAGCAGCACCGGCATCAGAAGACAAATTGATGTTATCCTTGTCGGTCCTGGGTGGCGGGTCTCAGAAGCAGCTGCAACGAATGATTTGGATCTTGGCCCCG